TCCTGTACAAAGTTTTATTTTGTGTTCAGTTACATCTGCTGAGTAAAATGACACCCCCATTGTATGTCTTTTGCACTATTTCGTGAAGTTACAGTGCCATACAGGATACCTGTCCTTTTCAGTATTCACAGTAGAATTTTGAGAGATGAATTTAATGAGCCTTAGCTTCCATTTGGGGTATTATAACAGTTTGACTGTTCAAAAAAACCCCACAAAGGCCTACCATTTGTAAAAGTAGACACTCCAGGGTATCTTATAAGGTGCATATTGTGCCTTAACATGCCCCCATTTTTTCACCAATATATGCCAAAGTATGTGGTAAAAAAAAATTTTGTGCATTTTTTACATACGGATTGCATTTTTGCTGGGCGTTTTGTATATTTCATATGTGCCACTAAGTTCAAACCCCCCAAATTATGCTCAGCTAAGTCTTCTGAGTAAAATGACACCCCATATGAATGTCTTTGGCACTATTTCGTGAAGCTACAGTGCCATATAGGAGACCTGTCCTTTACAGTATTCACAGTAGAATTTTGAGAGATGGATTTAATGAGCCTTAGCTTCCATTTGGGGTATTATAACAGTTTGACTGTTCAAAAAAACCCCACAAAGGCCTACCATTTGTAAAAGTAGACACTCCAGGGTATCTTATAAGGTGCATATTGTGCCTTAACATGCCCCCATTTTTTCACCAATATATGACAAAGTATGTGGTAAAAAAAAATTTTGTGCATTTTTTACATACGGATTGCATTTTTGCTGGGCGTTTTGTATATTTCATATGTGCCACTAAGTTCAAACCTCCCAAATTATGCTCAGCTAAGTCTTTTGAGTAAAAATACACCCCCAATGAATGTCTTTGTCACTATTTTGTGAAGCTACAGTGCCATATAGGAGACCAAGCCATATCCGTTTTTACCAAACTTTGAATTTTGACGCTGGGCCTATGTGCAATTTCCAAGCATCTTCGCAGGTTTTAAATTCAATCTACCCCACAAAGGCCTACCATTTCTTAAAGTAGACACCCCAGGGTGTTTCAAAGGTATAGTTTGAACCTTAGCGTGGGATCATTTTTCCGCTAGCTTGTACCAGATGTAGTGGTAATAAGCGTTTTTTCTGCCTTTTTGACATACAAAGTGAGTTTGCACAGTATATTTTGCAAACCTTATGTGTGCTACGACTGTATAATACTTCATATGTTGCTCAGCTATGTCGGCTGAGTACAGCAATACCCCCGTATGTACCTTTGCCAGGTATGTGTGGACATCGGAGGGGCACATTTGGGACACAGCCATTCCAGTTTTTTTCAAACTTTGAATTTTTATGCTGTGCCTATGTCCCATTTTAGAGTATTTTACCAGGCTATATAATCCAAATTCCCCATAAAGCCATACCATTTCTTAAAGAAGACATCCCAGGGTATTTCAAAAGGCATATTTTGAACCTTAGCGTGGGATCATTTTTCCGCTAGCTTGTACCAAGTGTAGTGGTAATAAGCATTTTTTCTGCCTTTTTGACATACAAAGTGAGTTTGCACAGTATATTTTGCAAACCTTATGTGTGCTACGACTGTATAATACTTCATATGTTGCTCAGCTATGTCGGCTGAGTACAGCAATACCCCCGTATGTACCTTTGCCAGGTATGTGTGGACATCGGAGGGGCACATTTGGGACACAGCCATTCCAGTTTTTTTCAAACTTTGAATTTTTATGCTGTGCCTATGTCCCATTTTAGAGTATTTTACCAGGCTATATAATCCAAATTCCCCATAAAGCCATACCATTTCTTAAAGAAGACATCCCAGGGTATTTCAAAAAGGCATATTTTGAACCTCAGCGTGGGATCATTTTTCCGCTAGCTTGTACCAAGTGTAGTGGTAATAAGCATTTTTTCTGCCTTTTTGACATACAAAGTGAGTTTGCACAGTATATTTTGCAAACCTTATGTGTGCTACGACTGTATAATACTTCATATGTTGCTCAGCTATGTCGGCTGAGTACAGCAATACCCCCGTATGTACCTTTGCCAGGTATGTGTGGACATCGGAGGGGCACATTTGGGACACAGCCATTCCAGTTTTTTTCAAACTTTGAATTTTTATGCTGTGCCTATGTCCCATTTTAGAGTATTTTACCAGGCTATATAATCCAAATTCCCCATAAAGCCATACCATTTCTTAAAGAAGACATCCCAGGGTATTTCAAAAGGCATATTTTGAACCTTAGTGTGGGATCATTTTTCCGCTAGCTTGTACCAAGTGTAGTGGTAATAAGCATTTTTTCTGCCTTTTTGACATACAAAGTGAGTTTGCGCAGCATATTTTGCAAACCTTATGTGTACTATGACTGTATAATACTTCATATGTTGCTCAGCTATGTCGGCTGAGTACAGCAATACCCCCGTATGTACCTTTGCCAGGTATATGTGGATGTTGAAGGGGCGCATTTGAGACGCAGCCATTCAGTTTTTTTCTAACTTTGAAGTTTTACGCTGTGTCCATGTTCCAATTTGGAATAGTTTAGACGGTTGGTTATTGAGACTTCCCCACAAACACATACTATTTATTAAAGAATACACCCTGGGGTAATTCAAAAGGCATATTTTGAACCTTGGCGTGGGATAATTTTTTCTCTAGTTTGTTCCAGGTGTAGTGGTAATGAGCGTTTTTAAAATGTATTTTTTTACTTTTTATAACTTTTTTACTTTTAAAAACTAGTTTTTAAACTTTTGTTTTGCTTATAAATTTTTTTAAACTTTCCTAAACTTTCTTAAAACTTTTTTACAGATTTAACATTTTTCTAAGCTATTTTTTTTACTGTTAACCCCTAACTAGCAGTACGCAGCACTAACAGTAAATTCCCCATTTTCCCATAACTCCCACCCACCCCAGCTAGCAAAATATATAGTTATAAAATATTTAAATTAATTAATTAAATAAATTGAACCCCTGAGGGTTAAAAAAAAAAATAAAAGTTAATCCTCAGGGGTTAAAAAAAATTAGATCACAGTATAATACTGTGATCTCTATTTGATCGCTGTAGGCAGTGATCGACTGGCAGGGAAGGGGTTAATTTTTATTTGGACTAGGTAAAGTGTGTTTTTTTTGTTTTTATTACTTAAATGTTATTAAAACATTTTTTTAAGCTTAATTTTTAACTTTTTAAAGTTTCTTTTAAAACTTTTTTTTAACGTTAACCCCTAGTTAGCCTAACGCCAAATCCCCCAATTCCCCACTAACTTCCACCTACCCCAGCTATCTAAATATATAATTTAAAAATAATTTAATTAATTAATTTAATTAATTTAACCCCTGAGGGTTAAAAAAAAAAAGAATTAACCCTCAGGGGTTAAAAAAAAAAATCAGATCATAGTAAAATGTAATCCCTGCCAATTGATCACTGTAGTCAGTGATCAATTGGCAGGGAAGGGGTTAATTTTTTATTAAAATGGGTAAGGGGGGGGGGACTTTAAATAAACTTTATTTTTTTTTCCAGCAGGGGGCAGGATCAGCACTGATCCGGCTCCCTGCACTTCACACAGAACCCGGAAGTGCAGGGAGCCGGTAGGTGAGTATACAGAGCACATGTGCTCGCTCCGACTTGTGGTCAGAGCGAGCACATGTGCTGGGCAGCTTGACCGGGTGCTCCCGGTATGCCTCCAATGCAGAGGCATACCGGGAGCACCATTAACCCCGCGATCGCCGCGATAGCGGCGATCCGGGGTTAATTTTACCGCGTGACGGACGAGGTCCGTCACCCGTCGTTAAGGGTCTCCCCTGTGTGACGGACCTCGTCCGTCACCCGTCCTGAAGGGGTTAATTTTCCCCTCTAAAAAAACAAAACAAAACACAAAAACAATTGATTTCCCATTTTGGAATATCTGTAAAACCAAAATTCGGTTGATCCCTAAAAGAAGGTGAGTAAAAACACCTCTCTCGTGATTGGAGGGACACACACACACACCACACCCCACCCCACCCCACCCCAATAGCAGTCAGATGTCTCCTTGGATCAAGCAGCTATTACCCCACTAATTAGAAATTATATCCCTGTTTTTGCATGTATTTATCCAATTGCTGTATGGACTCTGATGAAACCACTTCTTCAGGCAGAGAATTCCATATCCTTATTGCTCTTACTGTAAAAAACCTTTCTTTGCTTTTAGGGATCGACCGATATTGATTTTTTAGAGCCGATACCGATACCGATATTCCGTGAACTTTCAGGCCGATAGCCGATATAATTTGCCGATATTCTGTACATTTACCATTTTGGAAAATAAAAACTATTTCTAAAGGTAAATGCACAAAATATACATGCCATGTGTAGTGGATACAGTGTGTTTAGACAGGGGAGCTGTATGTGTTTGTGTAGTGGATGCAGTGTATGTTTGTGTAGTGTGTGTAGTGGATGCAGTGTATGTTTGTGTAGTGGATGCAGTGTGTGTTTGTGTAGTGTGTGTGTGTGGATGCAGTGTGTGTGTGGATGCAGTGTGTATTTGTCTAGTGTGTAGTGGATGCAGTGTGTATTTGTCTAGTGTGTAGTGGATGCAGTGTGTATTAGTGTAGTGTGTGTATATAATGAAAGCAGAGTGATTGTGTAGTGTGTGTAAAGTGAATGCAGTATATACTAAATGCAAAGTGTGTGTTTATGTAGTGTGTTTATATAATGCAGAGTGTGTGTGTTTGTATAGTGTGTGTGTATATATAATGCAGTGTTTGTGTAGTGTGCATTATATAAACACACTATGCAAACACACACTGCATTAATTATATACACACACTAAACACACTGCATTATATACGCACACTACACACACTGCATTATACACACACTACACAAACACTGCATTGTATACACGCACTGCATTATACACACACTGCATTATATACACACACTACACAAACAATGCATTGTATAAACACACTACACAAACACTGCATTGTATACACACTGCATTATATACACAGTGTGTTTGTGTAGTGTGTGTATATAATGCAGTGTGTAGTGTGTTTGTGTAGTGTGCATTATATAAACACACTACACAAACACACTATACAAACACACTGCATTATATACACAGTGTGTTTGTGTAGTGTATGTGTATATAATGGAGTGTGTGTGTGAGGGGGGGCATTTTTTATTACATTTTTTTTTTATATATATATTTAATATTTATTTTTGTTGTCCCCCCCTCCCTGTTTCATACTTGGCCAGGGAGGGGATATGACCATCCCTGGTGGTCCAGTGGTATTGGCTGAGCTGGGGGGAGCGGGCATCAAGCGCTTACTCACCTCCCAGCAGCTCCTCCAGCTCCCCAGTGTAACTCTCGCGGCCAGCGTGTCGCGCGGAGCGTTGCCATGGTGACGGAGCGTTGCCATGGTGTTTAAAGGGACACTCAAAGCACCCAGACCACTTCTGCCCATTGGAGTAGTCTGGGTGCCAACTCCCACTACCTTTAACCCTGGGTAGTGGGAGTATTTAACCCTGCAGCTATAAATATTGCAGTTTTCATAAACTGCAATAATTACATTGCAGCGTTAACTCCTCCTCTAGTGGCTGTCTACTAGACAGCCACTAGAGGGCACTTTCTGGTTTCTAGCACAGGTTTTCTGTGCTAGAGCGTCGCTGGACGTCCTCACGCTGAGGGCCTCCAGCGTCGCTCAATTCCCCATAGGAAAGCATTGAACGCATTTTCAATGCTTTCCTATGAAGAGGTCTAATGCGTGCGCGCGGCATTGCCACGCATGTGCATTTGGTCTCCCCCTCTGGCGGCCGAGCATGCGTGATCGGTCTCCTCCGCCAGATGACGTCGGCAGGGGAGGACCGTGGGCGGACCCGAAACCACCGCCTAGGGACATCGGCTGGGGTCTCAGGAAAGTCACAGGTAACGACTTTTAAATGAAATATTTTTGTTTAAACAAATTGACATGAATGTAAGGCATTAAAGGCATTTACACGAAAGATTTTTTAAACTAATTGAAACAAATTGACATGAATGTAAAAAGGCATTGTACACGAAAGAATTATACACAAATTGATACAAAAGTAAAGGTATTATACACAAAAGATTTGTACTCGAATTGAAACAAATGTATACTGTATTAATACTCATGAATACAAGGAGTCTACCCCCGTGAAAATGCCAGAAAACGGCGGGAATAGCGCGAACGTGACCATATCCACCTGTTACCTGAAACTGTTTGTGAAATTGGCCTGGTAGTGATCTCTGTTTGACTGATTTTAGGGGGGAAACCCCGCGAACGGGACTGCAAGGAGACATGAAGAAGCTGAATTTCGCAGGGAGATTCAAACGAGGCCGGAATCGGAAGTGCAGATATCTAGGAGACTGATGCACCTTCCAAAACATAGGACAAACTACAGGAGGAGGGCTAGAGGAGGGCATATATAGAGGCCGGCAACACCTCCCACAATTTCAGGCATTCTGATATATATTTAATAGGTTTTTAGCAGTGTGTTGTAAATAAAAAAAAAAAATTAAAAAAATAGGAGCACTCTGAAAATCTTTCTCTTTTATTCAGCAAGTTTTTAACATGATTTTTGCATTAGTGGCACTAAGTCACTATGTCATCATGTAACATGTTAAATATTTGATGAATAAAAGAGCATGTGTATATTATGTTTTTAATTTCTATACTGTTTGGATGGTAGATGTTATCTACGCATTATTTCACGTATTGCATTGTGTGACTACTGATTTTCATCTGCCCAAGATTAGAGGGCATTAGCCCTCCTTAGCTAAAGGAAAGGAAAACTTCAGGCACCATACCAACTACAGCACACTTTAACAGTGCCCTGGAGCCACCCCTCATTGTAGCCAAATTGCAGGGCTAAACACACTTATAGTTGCTATCTTCCTGATCGCCACTACAGGTGCTTCCACTGTGAGAACCGAGTCAGACTTGGCTCTCATAGGAAATCTCATCAAATGCTTTTCATAGAGGGCATTTGATTGGAAGAGTACGGTGCTGACTGTGCATGCGCTTCTCATCCTTAATGCTCCTCTGTGAGGATCACTGGATTGGACAAGAAGATGACGAGTCAAGGTGATGTGTGGGGTAAAAGGATCAGGTGGCTGCATGGACTGGATCACAGCACCGGAAAAAGGTAATGTTCATTTTTTGTATTCCTAATGCTATAGTTCCCTTTAAGGGAATAAAGTTGTATCTTTAGATCCTAGGTTTAAACCACTTATAAACAGTTTACCCCAAGTTTGTCCAGACAGCACCCATCAGCTCAGACACTGGTTCTTTGCCTATGTTTCTGGCTTGAGTGAGGAAGCCTCAGGATGGGTACCGGTGATAAGCTGACACACTCACCAAATCACTGGTTTACCACTGAGAAACATGAATGAGATAGATGTGTTTTTTGTGTATTTTTCTCTAAATGAAGCTAATTTGTCAAAGTACAGCTAATTGATTTTGACTGAATTGGTCCTCCTTATCCTTTTAGCAGTAATATAACTCAAAATTATCACACACACGTGTGTGTGTGTGTGTGTGTGTGTGTGTTTATAAATAGATGTAAATGTTTGTCATTTTGACACTTTCCTTGTTATACTTGTTTTTTTCAGTATTATTCAATCACTTATCTGCTTGAAGCAATGTCTGCAGCAGAAGAGGATACAGAGCTGAGAGATCTTCTGATTCAAACTTTAGAAAATAATGGCGTACTCAATAAGATCAAGGTAAAAATCGCTAATCTAAGATAAACCATTCAAAAGCTATTGTCAGCCGATGCCTCTGTTCACTATACTTTTTAAATGGCCTTCAGTTTTTATTAATTAAACTTTAGGTGCACAGCACTCAGTTTGCAAAGTGTATTGTAAATAAAGGAAACCTACCCATACTTGTAATCTTAAGCAATGTGTATTTTTCTTGTTCACATTTTAGGCAGAACTGAGAGCATCTGTGTTTTTGGCCTTGGAAGAACAAGAAAAAGTGGAGGTAAAAGTAATAAGCACATATTTCAGTTATTAAATTTTGTGAAGACTGATTGTCATGGTACTTGAAATGATTTAATTGGCTACTTTCTTCAATTGATGAGTGGAAATTTAGCCATGGGAGCAAAGTTTAGTTTTGTTCTCTGGATGGGAGGAAAGGGAATACTGGTATTTTTTTTATTTTTCCCCAGGACAGGATTATTTGCTGGGAAATATTAAGAGCTGTCACCCAGAATTGAGCTTTTTCAGTACTAATTAAGTTGCAAGTCCAGGTGTTTCAGTTTATAATGAAAAAGAATGCTGGGAACTGATGTCATGCTTTACCGCAGCATGAGCTTCCAGGAGCAGTGATGTGATCTTTACTGAAAAAAGCACAGCTCCAGGTCAGAGACTACATTCACACTGTAAACCATGGATGATGACTCCTTCACTAACAAATGTAAACATGCAGTGTATTTTTACATAGAAAGGGAATAAGCAGAGAGGAAAATCATAGAGGGGTACATTGGGACAGTGACATCTCTTGCCCTATTAACATTTCTTCCATGTCACTACAGAGAGCAAGAATAGGGGAAAATGGAATGCAAATACACTCTTTCATTAAAACGCACACCTACATTCAAACTCCTGCTGACATTTGTGCTGCAGGCAAGAAAATGTTTTTAGACATGGTTGTGATGTGCATATGAATGAGATTAATGGCACTTTCTTAATCCCCCTTCTTCTACGTGTGTGTGTGTGTGTGTGTGTATGTATATATATATATATATGTATATGTGTATGTATGTATATGTGTGTGTGTGTGTGTGTATATATATATATATATATATATATATATATATATATATATATATATATATATATATATATATATATATATATATATATATATATAAAAATACAAAAATACAAAGGGCCCTTGCACTCCAACTTATAAAAAAAACAGTACCTGGTGCTCTGGTGGCTCAGATGTAGAGAAAGAAAGGATACCGGCACTCAAGGAATTTCAAAAGTTTACTTTCCAATGTGCATCTGAAATCGACGTTTCAGTTCCTCTAGGGAGCTTTCATCAGAACATAGACATTCTTAACAGTGAAAAAACACACTTATATAGGAAATGTTAAAATTACATACTCACATTCAGCTGTTACTCATCAGCTGTTATTAATCGCCATCAACCATCGGGAACGTCGTGCCCATTAATTTAGTTTGCTGTTACTTCCTGGTTAGTCATCTGACCATGAAGATGGTCCTAATAGGTTGAACCTCACATCGGCTAGACAACCAAGGACGCTCACGTCCCATTGGAGGAGATTCAATATTATGAATACCGATTTTAGACAGACTTAATATGTCAGCCGGTAGCACAAAAACGGCACCTGAAACTTGTTCCCTGCATGTTACCCGATGGTTAGATGGAGATGTCCGAGTTTACAAACAAAGTACTTCATTAATCCACAACTGTTTAAACACCCCAGATTAGACTATTATCCAGTAATATCCCCCATGTGAAAGATGCTGTATATAGCACGCTAATTATACAATACAAAAATCAATAAAAAATCATGCAGAATTATATTAATAAAAATTAATATAATGTGATTCTATACATAAGTAGGGAAACATTAAATAAGGTCATATTGATTCAAGTGTATGGTCCTCAATTAATAAATAAAAATGACTGAATGTCAGGGTCTATATAAGAAAAAATTGATTAGAGATGCCTGGACTTGGTATAGATACTACAGGCTATCTGCAGATCTTGTGATAGCTAAGTGATAGAGAGGAATGAAAAGCCTCTCCAATCTTACTAAGAGCTTTAGCTCAGTGTATAAAAAATGAAAAGGGTAATATAGATATTAACACTCAATGTGTTAAAGTGAGTAAAAATCTAACTCTTATGATCATCTGTGAGTATAACCTTCTGAGTCTAATCAAAGGTAATACAAACTTATTAATGTGGTTATCGACACATATATTTATATACTAAAATCCATCCTCCTATTTTTTTTATACCTATATTTTCATTATGCTATACTTATGTACAACAGGCAATATAATCCAGTGTTACAAAAACAAGAGTCAGCAGGAGAACACTAGAACAC